CGTTATATTCGATGAAACACCCTCGAGTAACTACCGTATTTTAAAGCAAGAATATTAATAAACGCCATCCCCGAATAAATGCCGCATCATGATGCGACTCTTATTCGAATAACAGACTGAAAAAAGCAGACCGATGACTACTGAGGGCCTGTTTTTAAGGAGATGGGGAGCCCCAGGTAGGTGAAGTATCCCGCCTAACTGGGTAACCCGCCTGTCTATATAATCTATTATTTCATCTTGATCACGTTTACATGATAGGTGGGGTGACCCATCTAGGTGGGTTGCCCGGTCTGCTGGGTAGGGTAACCCTGTCAGCAAGGGGGTAACATTGCCATGTAAACGTCTCAAGGTCGGTTAACCCGCCCACGCAGGGTGCCGTTTATGTTACAAAAGGATCAAATAAGGAAAACAACAGCGAAACACGAGTGTGTTAAGACTTTGTACATTTCTTGGTCTTCCCATGCAGAGCTAAAACGTTAAAACATCAATTTTTACATCCACTTAGCAATAAAACCTCGACAGCGATTTAGTCACGTTTTTACTTTTAACTTAACACTACATTCACATGTTATGCCAAAGTGAAGACGTTGTATCGTCAGAAACGGTTAACCCATCGAGCTATTGGCCAAAATCTTAAAGGAAAATTAATTACGCTTTTCTGCAACGTTTTTACGACACGTCCTAGTGACATCTTAAACTCCTTAATTGTAAGTGTGATAACAACCTCAAGAAACTTCATCCTGGCATCCCGGGGTTGTAAGATTGTATGTAAACGCTGGCTATTTTTAGCCCACGGTTAGGCGGGTCACCTCACCTACCTGGGGTCCCCCACATCCATGTAAACAGGCCCTAAGGCAATGAAATACAGATAGGTGGTTGATTACTGTTAGCCTGGAACTTCTTCGACTGCAAAACTGAAGATAGCATTGCTTACGTATTGCAGTCGGAATAAAAAATCGATCAAGTAATAGTGCTAGAAGGGTCCACCAAGTATAGCCAGGCACCGGACGTTTCTTGGAACAAGCCGTTCAAGGCCACTTGCACTAAAAAGGAATGATTGGCTGGGTACCGTGGGAATTCACGAAGAAACAGCTGCTGAAAATTTGAAATTATCCCCGAAAAGTACCATTTTGGAGTGAATTCTTGATTCTTGAGCAGAGCTACCCACAAAAGTAATAAAAAAACTCTCTCGAGCTGCATGTTGAACCTTCCCGTGGACGACATGATTCACTGCCCCAAGGAACGACAGCCTTGTGGCAGTGAACGATTATTGCTTCTATCGCAGTTGCAAGTTCTGAGTAAGCAAGGCACAAATCCCTTTGAATGTACCGGTTCTGATTTTGAGAGAGCACATCCGTCATTATATCTTTTGGATTCGGATCATAAAGAGGACAGAGACATTGAAACTGGGTGAACTATGTTCACTTTATTTCACATTAAGTATTGCAGTAGTATTAAAACGCAGATTGTGAAATTGAGGACAAGCACCAGAACGTGTTTTTGTTTTTTTTAAAACTAAAATGGTCAGTTACCATATTATTGTTTGCAAAAAGTAAATTGAATTTTAAATAAACGCCGCCCTCGAATAAACATCGCACTTGAATCACGAAAATTTTAATAAACGCTGCGGCGTTTAATCGAATAACTACGATAAGTGAAAACACTTTATTAGCTCTATATTTAAGAGAGCTCCTTTGTAAGAAATTTGTATAAGAGTTGTTTACAGTCTGTTGGACCAAGTTCTATCCACCAATCTTTCGATGAAAGAATTTATAATTGGTGCCAATCCTGATCTTCCTGCAGCCAGCTAATTTCCCCAAGGTCTTGAAACAGATAGGAAATCGACAATCATCTCTTGATATCTGGGGCTCTTCTCACTCGTCATTAAGTACTAGGCCTTTGCGGAAGTAGGAATCCGTCGGTACACATTACCATTTTAGAGTTATCCACAACAATTTGTTTACCTCGCCCCTATTGTGTCCCCACCTCCCCCCTATTATAAATGTCCCCACCCCCACCCCACAAACCTCCCGTTCAGGAAGCTTTCAGTGCTCAAATTTCATTGAATGGCTCTGCAGCTCACAACAGCAATAAAAAACAATGCCTATGAATGTTTTTTTTTTTTTTTGTCTTGGTTTTAATGAAAGAGAGACGCTCGAAACTTTGAAGTAATGAAAATCAAAAAGCTCTTAGAGCCAGCTCATTCATGTTATGGCTTAGGTTTGCATTGATTTCTTGGACTTGCTGAATATCGGTGTAGTTGAATTCGGTTTATGTGAACTTTCAAGACTTTTGGAATAAATTTTCTTTTATTTTTTTTGGCAGTTGTGTGATAAGAAAACTTGTGCATTCGTGGTGATGGGAATTGGAAAAAAGTTTGTGGGCTGGAGGTGGGATGGGCAGAGGTCATTAGGCAGAATACGCCCTCAGTTGGCTGCAATATATCTCTCATAACGCTGACTGCCGCAGTAATTATCTATTAAATATTCCTTGCCCGTTTTTTGATATTTTTTGTTTTAAACAAAGCGGCCATTGCATTTGATTTTCAACAAAGCGGCCACAATCGTTCTTAATATAATTTAAAGTCTTCATATAATCTGATTTTCACATATTAATATTTGCGTAGTCACCAAACCGACGAGAGATAAAACCACCAAAAAAGTTAACAAATGGCCAGTAACGAGGGCAACGCTTCGCTTTTCCCTATAAAAATTCTCCGGTTTCTCATGAAAACCAATGACATTATAAGACAATAAGGGGAAATCAGTATGTGTACACTTCTGAACGTTGAAAATATATCAAGTCGAAAGAAAAGTTTTGGTTTTGGTTCGCATTTTTGTCAACAAAATGAACACATATCGGTTAAAAAGATGAATTTCTCGAATATTGCGCAGGTTAAATATTCAATAGTGGCATCCATTTACATCCACATCTACTTTTAGTAAGTTGGTAACTTCTGCACAGACATCACGCCAACCAACTCGCGCGGAAAATGAGAATACTAAACGAGGCTTAAAAAAAGTTAAGAACGATTGTGATTAAGAGACAGGCAAGGAATATTCCACAATGGTGCAAATAATCGTCAAAGATGATCGAGGAAAAGCGCTTGCGTGACACTCGGTAAGTTGTAAGATGCCATGTTATCACGTATCAGACGAAAAAACAGTACAAATTCTGTCTGCATTTTGTACCCGGTCTGCGGTCCGTAGTCTGCATTTTGCACAGAGTACGAAGCCATCCAAGCACTTGATACGGCTGGACACGGTCCTCAAACAACTCCATATTTCTCTTTGAAATATACTAATTTTTCATCGGAAAATGTTCTACCTTCATTTACAATCCTCAAGCGCTTCTAAAAAGTGAAAAAATCCCAACGTTCTCCGTTTCGCTGACCTTGTACACAGAGTACGAAGAGATCCAAGCGTGACACTAAGAAAATTTTCACCAGACACTACCGGACATGGTCTTTAAAATAACTAGACGTCCGGCAGTCTGATTTTTTTCCATATTTCTCTTTGGAAAATACCAGTTTCTATTGGAAGTATTTTGTCTTCATTTTGAATCCTCAAGCGCTTATAAAAAGTGAAAAAATTTGAATATTGTCCTTTTCGCCGACTCTTTATAGAGTACGAAGAGATCCAAGCGTGTTCAGGATGGCTCTTGAGAAAGACGATTTTAGAAGGTTTTTAGTGATCTGGGAATTCCGTGTTACAGGAAATTGGGTCGCGTCAAGGTTGAAAGGCATTGCATCAAGGTTGAAAATGGGCCTTTAACTTGTAACTGTAGGATAAGAAGAGGCTCCGAAAACAACAGTGAAATAAACAAATTCTCCCAGAGTACCATTCCTTTTTATTATGATAGATTAAGTATGCATCATTGCAACAAGATTTCTTTTCCAGATTGCAGGAAAATGCGTTTCTGGGAGACTTATCTTTTAAAAAATTTCCCGGGGGAGCATGCCCCCGGACCCCCCTAGAGGTTCGGGCCTTCGGCCCTCAATTTTCAAGGGAACCTGCCTACTTTAAAGGCAGTGCCCTTTTACTTCAAAGTTATTTAAGTTAGCGTCTTGTTGACTTTGATTACCCCAGCAATACATGTAGCACACGCAGCACTATTACAATATCCTCGCAAATCCAAATTGGTTAGCGTCTTGTTCACTTTGATTGCCTCGGCAATACATGTAGCACCCGCATCCCTAATAAAATTGTCAGACAAATCCAAATTGGTTAGCGTCTTGTTCACTTTGATTGCCTCGGCAATACATGTAGCACCCGCATCCCTAATAAAATTGTCAGACAAATCCAAATTGGTTAGCGTCTTGTTCACTTTGATTGCCTCGGCAATACATGTAGCACCCGCAGCACTAATACGATTCCAAGACAAATACAAATTGGTTAGCGTCTTGTTCACTTTGATTGCCTCAGCAACACATGTAGCACCCGCAGCACTAATACCATTATTAGACAAATCCAAATTGGTAAGATTCAAACCAGTTCCAAACGACTTCGATAAATGCGAGTGAAAATCACTTTTTTCTCTTTTGCATTCGTTGATGGCCTCCAATACAATTTTTGCACCACGGCCTTTATTTTTGTTGACTTTATTTGTTAAACTCTTTACAAGAGCCACAACCTGTTCATCGCATTTCATGGCCAAAATTCCACATGAAAACAAAAGTATTTGTTTAAGTTCAACGAAATACCTTGGATCGGAAACTAGTTCTTCAGGTTTTATCTCCTTGCTTTGAATCTGAGAACAAATGAAGAATGCTGCAAAGAATTCTTGAAAACTTTTATGTAAGAAGGCATAATGCAGTGTTTGTCTCAGTTTGCTGCCACCAGGCTGCACTGACAGAAATCCAAATTCAGTCAGGTCTTTTGCATGGTTTCTCAATTCACTTTCATTAAAATCCAACTTATCGTCAAGTAAACCATTCAACGCTACCTTTCCAAGGTGATTCAATTGCGGTTTGTAATGGTTTGTCAAGTCTTCGATCTTTTCTAGTAGTCCCTTCCTTTTTTATATCTTCTCAAAACACATTCAACCATATCCAAGTACAGTTGAGCTCTGCTTTCGGGGAGTGTGCCCTCAAACTCTTCGCATAAAAGGCAAAGAAGTGCTGTGTTTAGAGGATTGGCCGCTATTTCTCTCAGGTTTTTATCTCGCGACATCCGTTGCGAGAGCTTGATAACTAAATCCGTCCTTTCTTTAAAGTACTTGGTGACAAATCCTTTCACATGCTCTTCAGTAAATCCTTCGATCTGAAGCAGCGCGTCACAACATTTTCTCACCTCTTTTCCAGCTTCGTGTCTTGCTGTTGCAACTATGTGGCATTTGGGGAGTACTCTTCCTTCAATTAATTCGGAAAACATCGACAATTTACTGGACGGTAACTCATCCAATCCATCCAATATCAATAAAATGCTGGACTGATTTTCACGAATAAAACGAAAGAATTGTTGTTTGACTTCTTCATCGATGTCTCGGGGCAGAAGCTGATCATCAATAGCTTCCCAAACGTCAGAATGGATATCTCGACATTTCAGTAACAATACCACTTTAAATGCTGTTGAGCCGCAGCCCTGAGGTTCTTGCTTATTGGTGGCCCAGTCGTAGGCGTACTTTTTACAATAGGTGGTTTTTCCCATACCAGGTTCTCCTTCAATCAACACTGTTCTCGGCGCTGAACACTCTTCGTACGGGTCTAGTATTGACGACATGTCAACAAATACGTCAGTGATTTCTCCTCTCGTTTTCTTTCTTCTGACCACTTTGAGCCTTGTAAAAATATTGCCAAGAAAAAACTGAAACTCGTCACACCATGGAAATGGTGAGAGCCATCCCTCGCGAGTCTTGTACAGCTGGCGAATTCCATTGATAAGCTCAGTTGGATCAAAAACACCTAGCAGTAGCAAAAGAAGTAAGAAATCTAATGAATGCAGCGTTGAAAATTGTGGTCCCTCTCTGGTATTCGGCACTGAATTTAAATATGCGAATGAGTACGATACCGTTGCCAAAGAAATTACTTGGACGATGCAAAAAGGTTTTAGTGTATGATTCAAGATTACTGATTAAAAGCCATTTAGATCATGAATTCAGTTGAACCTACTCTGTTTGTTCGGCTTGAGTGGTGTCTGACAGCGAAACTCTATCGTAAAATAAATTACTCGAGAGATAAATATTCATATCAGAGCCGTACTCTGAGCAAGGCTTTTTCGGGATAGAGCGAGACTACGAACTAATAAATGAAAACCAAACAACGCCTTTCTGCTTGCTTTGTCACGAGGTTTCGTCTAAAATGCTGCAGAAAACCGGAGGCTCGCCTGCGATGAAGTGGGAGGTTTTGCCCACAGTCTTTTCCTCAGGAAATGTAAAATAACCACATGCATCCTATTCTAACTCATTTTACTCAAGACGCAATTCAATCGTCCGTCGAGCGAAAAAAGTAAAAACCAATGGTGGTCGGAAAGTGGCCACCTCAAGATTTTCACGCAGTTCCGCTCTCCAGTGTTCTTGTCGCACGAATGACTGCTCGTACCTAATGGTTTCCTATTTTCGCGGGAGTTTCAAAATTAAACTTTTTGCGATTTTCAAAGATTCGCGTACTTTTGACGTTGTTGATGTATTTTCAACCTCTCTCTGCGTACTTTTTTTTGCCAAATCGCAAAATTTTTTACCGGACAGTTTGACTATCATACTCGCGATAAACAAATCGGACTTCCGCTGCGCGGTCGTCCGATTTTGTTATTACTCGTATGGTTACAGACCAAATTGGACTCCACTCAGTCCTATTACCATTACTTACTATGCACACAAAGAATCAAGTCTGACTTGCGTAGCGCGCGCGAGATTTGAACTGCTCTCATATAATGAAAAATAAATCTGAGAGCAGCGAAGTCGTGATTCGATAGTTCGTCGAGCGAGAAAGTGGATGTTTCCCCCTCCAACTTTCTCGCTGCTATTCTCTCCTCTCAAAAGTTCTTTTCGCTGCCTGCTTGGAAAATCATGACCGGAAAGAGTAGAGAGGGACAGCTCGTAGTTTATGACTGCGTGGCGAACGCCTCGCTTCCTTGACTGAATGCATGCTCTCATCGTCAGTGCCTAGCATAGTGCGTCTCTGGATAAATAGTTAGATATATCTTTGGCCAGTCTAAAGCAAGATAAAAGCAAACAGTGGCGATATCATAGCTGTAAGCAACCGCCTTCTATGCTTTAATATTGTTCACCTTTATGCAACCGCCGCCCCTACCCGCATCATCGTTATTTGAACCGAACGAATCCTACCAGTATCACCCTCTCCAGGGAGAAATTGTTTTTCCTCTAGTCTTTCCGGGCGTTTAAATTTCCCGCTCGTATGCTAATCGGAAACTTCGACAAATCCCCAATGTGTAACGAAGCTGTTGCGCCATTGTTAAAACATGGCCATTTAGGATCTTAACAATGTTAAGCCACTTTTCTTGATACGGCTTATAGGGATATTTTCCCATGTAGAATTGAATACTCCACAATATGACGGGAGGACGGATTTTGTTATTTTTTGAGAAGTATGCGGGTCACATCTAACCCTATTAGAAAGTTAGGATCATAATGAGAAAGGTAATACGAAAAAAAAGACGATAACCTATCTCGCCCACGATCATACATATGTATGAGTGCTGCCAAAACACCATCAAATCCGAGAGATAGCCAGGGCAGAATATCTCACTTTCCGTAGCATCCCACACATTACATAGTATATCCATGTATGGCCAGTGAGAGGGGTGGCCAGGGTATGCTCTTAGATCACTAAAGTACTAAAATATGCTGTGTTGGCCGACATCCAGCTATTACTGTCGCCATGCACAAGAGCTGTGTCGCTCTTAATAATTTTTTTCTGTGATATCTCTTACTACCAACTAACCTTCTTGTGTGCGATTTTCAACTGAGGCCGTCAGACTACTAAGTTTTTCTTTCACCTCTTTGAATCCAATCTCTATCTTGTCAGTTGTGCCTCTGAAGTTTCTCTCCATAATGCTTCTCATGTTTTCCAGCAAACCTGAAAATTTCGAAAGGTATGCGCAGTTTCATGAGCATATTTATATCACAGCCTCACGTTTAGGTGCGGGTAAAACAATGATTCGTATATCAATATCTAGTCTATTCAGAATAGACAAAACTTAATTAGACGCCCAGAAATCACAAAAATGCACTCCAGAAGTTGTACACGAGCAGCCAAATGTCAACATTTGGGTAATTTCATCATTTTCCACACATAACGCTAGTAACCTTTCAAATATGAGAGTAGTTCCGACCAAAATGAAAACATAATGAGCTAGCCTACACCGCCGTGTTAACTAGAATATCTACTTTTGAAGCCTTCTGATTCATTCACATTGGCATTGGACAATGTTTTTCGTACCTTCAATTTCTTCAAGCTTGTCTTTGATGCTGTCGTCGTCTTTTTTCCATTGTTTCATCAGTTCACGATAATGCTCCTCGATATCTGGATCCATGCAGTCGTGCTCAAGATTATCGATTTCAGCTCTAAAATGAGCTCCTCCCAGTCTCACCAAAGCTTCTCGTATCTCCTGCCAGTAAGCACTGAAACTTCTGTCATCCACAGAGGCTTGAGAAGCATGGCCGTATACAGTGTTCCTGTAATATTTAACTCTGGCGATGTCATCTGCGATGCCTATGTTTGCAGCTAGGGGAAGACGATCCCATCCATTGGCAGGAGGGCCCAAACCACAGATATTTCTAAGAAGCACCGTTAGAAGTGTGATATCGAAGGCTGCAGAAGACACGGGTGCGTGAGTGGGGTACAAATTTCCCCATTGCGTGGGATTCAGCACTTTCTTCCTCCCTCTGTAAAGTGAGTGTAATGTGGCGTAATGCACTGAGGTACTTCCCAAAACTGTATGTAGAGTCGCTGGAGGATGTATTTTGTCAAAAGTGGACCGAAGCACCTGAGATCCAACATCCACCAGGAGGCGGCATAGCCTTGCATAGTTGGTAGTTTCTTTCGTAGATGCAAATGGCGAAATAGCCGTAGCCATAATTCAGGATGACCTGTCAAACAGAGAATTGACATTAAGTAATGTTAATCAAACCCATTCGAAAAAAATAAAAAACTCCCGATAACCAATTGAGACCGAGAATGATTTCAAATCGTGATGTCATTTTCTAAATTATTTTGAGCAAGGAACACCAACGAAAGAACCTAATAAGAGATTTAATATGAGATTTTCCATTTCAACCCAGTTTCTAGATTAAGAAAGAGTTTTGTTTTTCAGTTTACAAAGTAACAACCAGAGACATAAACAGCAGAAATGAAAGGCGATTTGAAAGGTTAAGGGGAAATAAGTTTTTATTTCCTCTCTAGGGCCTTAAACCCGGTCAGTTTTGGCTGGTTGATGTTTGATTCTTAATCATCATCATCATCATTTTGCATGGTAATGTAGGTTACAAATCGGCAGCCAGGAAGGCTGATGTGGACCTACAAATCACTAAAATAATTAAATGATATATACTATACTGCTAAAATAAAAAACTAATCGAAAAAGATAAACTTAATCTTGAAATTTAGCACATAACTAATAAAATACCTTGTTTCGCCCAAGAAGTATCTAATAATAAAAGCAATCATTGCCAGCGTAACCATTATACCTAAACCTTAAAACCTCCAAAGCTCCAAAACGATCCACAAGCAGACACAAATACATAAACTAAAGTGAAACATCAAAGCAAGACTGCAAAACCTCCATTTACCACCCTACAAAGATCACTGCTACAACTTGGTCACTTGAAGCACAATTGCAAAAGCATCATCCATCACCATCCCAACAAGGACAAAAACTACATAATCATAAGCAAACTACATATTTAATCACAAGAAAACTACACTGTGCTAGGAAAATTGTCGTCAATATGGGAATCAGTCTGTTACCAAGCCAGTTAATAGACCAACTCCGTGACTAGTCCAGGAAATATCAACACAACAAATACGGAAATTATATTACTTCAAGTCACCGTGTTTACAACAATCACTAAATAGCAGCCATTGAACTGTGAAACAATAACCTCTAAGTCAATAGACTTAAAAGTCTCAGTAATATTATCACCTTCATAAAAAAAATGTGTCCACTGGTAAAAATGTGTCTAACAACAAAATCCACCTGTTGCAGTTACCACTACAATAAGGGCAAAGAAACCCAACAAACAACCTTGTTCTACATGCAGTATCAAAAGAAAGGGGATGCAACCTCCATCTGCAACTGCAATGAAAAAAGCAGCTAAATGTGATCACAAGCATGCAACAGACCAGCACAAGCATCATCCAATCGCCATGCACTCTCATGAGACCAGTAGGAATATAATTTTTAACAATGGAGCTTAATTCTGCTAAGAGGTTTTCCAATGGTTTTGGTAAACATTATTTTACCAGAAGAAAAATATTTTTATGCCCTGTCATGTACATGCGACAAAGACGAAAATCAGAATCCCCATGAGAAGTTGAATTTTAGACCTTCAGCCAGTTCCACCCTCCGCTAAGCCAGGACCAGCAACTATAGATCTATGGTGAGCAAGGCCATTAATTACTAGGTTCATATCTAGCACCCCTACCACAAACTACTAGCAGGTTGTCAACCACTGACATCTATTATTCTGTCAACCGAAATAACCAACTCTGTGACTACACCTTTTCCATATTCCTGGGTAAGAGAGGGGAACTCAGACTGAATTAGTAAATTTTCTCACCAACAACCTTCAGTTGTAAATTATCCACCCAAAGGATTAATTCGGCATGAGTGACACTTATTTTTACCTCTCCAATTGGTGTTCCAGTGCATTAATCCTTACACGAACAAAGCCCCAGACATCAAAATAAACTGCAGTCTTAGTATACACCACCACTTTCAAACAATTACAAAGTCAGACAGGAAAAAGAAGCTCTGGCCACTATTGTAAGGATAAGTGCAGCATTACTATCCATTTGTCACCAGTGCCATAGCCATATTTTCTAGCTGCCCCTGACCCATAATTATTTACAGTAAAACAAACATCTAAACGCAGCTAGCACCTGGGGTTGCAGTGCTTGGAAGTTCAAATCTCTCATCACCTAGCACCTTAAATAATCAACCAGACAATCTTGGGCATAAGGTTAACAAGATCCTTTTACAAAGAAAGATATATATCTATACAATTGCATGATCAGACTGAGTATACACATCCTTCAATTGGCCACTCCTAGAATGACCATAGAAATTTCAAAATAAAAAATTGATCAAAACCAGTAAAATCAGTGCACATTTTACTGTTTGATCATCATACATCACCTGCAGTTCCATGAACAGACCCAAAATTGTACCAATGCCACTACCATTATTATATTAATATACCTATTTCTGGTATTTCCACAAGTTTGTAGCCAAATATAATCACAACATAGTTAAATAGGTATAATATCATGCATAGTTCTTGATATAACATAAATACCAGGCAAAATAATAAAAAAATTACTCCCAACCATACAATTCTTATAATGTTACTTCAGAGAATTTAGTATTGGATCAACTAATTATCCCGAAATTTATAGATTCTTTATTCTCATCACTTATCTGGTTGATATTGTGTTGATATTGTAAGGAGAAATTCTGTCTTGGTCACTCATGGGAGTTAAAGGGTAATTTACAGATTGACAAAATGAAGGCACATTTAAAAAATGAGAGAAAAAAAGAGCAGCTAGTTCCTTCTACCTTGTATTGAGTTTTCTGGGTTTAAGAAAATAACCCTTGAATCAGGGATAAGGTCAGAAAGTCTGAAAAGGGAAGCAGTAGAACAACAGTTACTATATATCCGTTATGAAAGAAAATGGCAGTCACAAATAAGGGCAGGGTTAACCTTATGCCCAAGATTGTCTGGTTGATTATTTAAGGTGCCCCTAGGTTATAAGTGGTATTAATGGCAACATCACATAATTATCAATATAATTTCGTATTATCAACTGAGTTCATAATTTAAATTTGCCATAGTGACGGGTTTAAAAGGTGACAATTCGTTTGCTAGCCCAGTCGCTCTGATGAAGGGTGAACACTTCAAACGTCACCTTTTTAAAACCCTATTAGCCCAGTTAATCCTGGTATACTCTTCCACTCAGGCAGCACTACATTTTCTTTAGAAACTTACCCCCCTTTATTCATTTAATAATCAAAAGGCAACCAGAATTAAAAAACAACAACAACAACAACAACAAAAACCACCATGATCCACAAGGGCTGACCAAAGGTGATAACTCTCACACAACATGCCAACACAACATTCCAACACAACATGCTTAGGATGTCCAATATGTGCATATATTATTTTTAAACTATGAAGGACACACTATGTTTTGTTTTGGTCAAGTTAGCCTGCTTGGTCTTTGTTTTGGTTTTAAAAGTGTGATCAATGTCACGCTTAGCGTGTAAGCTAACAAAGGAAAACACACCTAAATAACAACAATTAAAGAAAAATGAAATGTTATTAGATATTTCTTTCATTCAACCATATCTTTTCCTTTTGAACTCAATAGCACTCATTATTGCGATGGGTAAGTGTAAATACTGGTAGATAAATGGGTGTGAGAAATGAATTTTAATGCTGTATAGTTCCCAAACATAAACATTGATGTATGCACAAAATTCATACAGTTACCAAGTTTTTTTTCTTTTATTGCTGAAGATAATTTGCGGTTTGATAACTCCAATATTAAAGTATTAATCAAAAGTTATGCATTATCACGTTATCGAACAGAAGTTTTTTGCATGTCTGCTTATTCTGAGAATCATAAGTACAATTCCATGTTACAGACATTACATTCAAAGACCAATTTTTTGGAAGCTAATTTCCTTAACAAACTTTTGCACAGTTTTCAATTTATAATTTGTACATGTACAAACATTCCTCACAGGGTACTTGACTTAAACATGACAGGTAAAATAAATTTTAAAACTGGTAAAACAATCCTTTAATTTACATGCTGAATTTCAATACTCTTGACTTAAACATGACAGGTAAAATAAATTTTAAAACTGGTAAAGCAATCCTTTAATTTACATGCTGAATTTCAAGAATTCCAAGCAATTATAAATGGTAATCAGAGGATGGTAAATGTTACCAGTTACTGCCTGAAAAGGAGAACACTGTAAGCTTAAGCCACACTTGGACTCAGACTTTTTGAAAATTTATACTCCTCATGTCATTGTGGTGTTGATACTGCTAATGTACAGTTGCTGTTATGGTTATTGTTATTAGTGTTTAGTCATAAGCACTGAAAACTTGGATGTGATAAATTTGAACAAAATTGTTATGCATGTAGCTTCATATCTCCCAAAAGAATTACCATAAGTCAACTTTCAGTTGAAGCACTCTACAAACCCAGCTGTACTCAGTAATTAAACCAGCCGTATATCAGAAGGGCCACCAGAATTTCAGCTACATTTTCCGAGAGTATTTCCACATGTTTGTAGCCAAACATAGAATCACAACCATTAATCACAATATAATTAAATAGGTAATTAATATAATGCATAGTTCTTGACATGACATTACCAGGCAAAATAATTCATACTCTCATAGATATGAGTCAAATGAGAGCATGCAGATTAATTTTAAACATATGGAAACAGCTAGGACACAATTAAATTCCAGCAAATAAATTATTAACCCTTTAACTCCCACATCGTATTTGTAATTCTCCTTACTCCCAACCATACAATTCTTATAATGTTAGTTCAGAGAATTTAGTATTGAATCAACTAATTATGCCCAAATTTATATTTTTCTTTACCCTCATCACTTATCTGCTTGATACTGTGTTGATATTGTAAGGAGAAATTCTGTCTTGGTCACTCATGGCAATTAAAGGGTTAATACAGATTGACAAAATGAAGCTAAGTTTCAAAAATGAGAGAAAAAAAGAGCAGCAAGTCCTCCTACGTTGTATAGAGTTTCCGGGGTTCAAGAAAATAACCCTTGAATCAGGGATAATGTCAGAAAGTCTGAAAAGGGAAGCAGC